TTCCATCAGAAACACTCAGATTAGAAAATAGAAATAAAGGATTAGAATTTCTAAATTTAATATGTAAGAATTGGTTTCCCATGTTCCTGTCGTCGCTCAATGAGAACCAGAGTCCTGGAGATCATCTTCTGTTTTTATTGAGAAATTCAGTTCTTTGTTTGTGTAGAAAAGCAAAAGTATAAATGGTTTATAAAAGTAATTCAGCCACTGAAGTGACCTTTCTTTTACCAAGACAGAAAAACTAGATTGATGTCGGAGAACGACAATAAATCCCATAACAACCAGACTAAGAATTAAACATTTCAGTCAAACAGCTTCAACTAATCAAACACACAGAGTCAAGGTCACAAGACGGGAGGATGTCAAAATTCCTTATATACAAAAAAATCCTTTCAACAACAGATTCTCTTTAACTTGAGACACAAACAAACAACTGAGTCCGACCTCAGTTAAACCAGCGAGTCGTTCACAGAGACGACGACGGTTTCCAGAGAAACAAGCAAATCGAGTTGTGTAGATTATTTCTAATGATTCATACTTTTTAATGACTTTTCAATATCATAACATTATTTGAGCTAAAGCGCAGGAAATGAGTCAAAGCGACCAAATATCTGAGCACAGGCACAAAGTCTGATCACAAGCAGGAGCAGTCTCAGTGTTTTGAGTGGGAGCTTTAAGAAATGACGTGAAATCAATAAGTTCTGCTCGAGTCGAGGAAAAACACAAATTATAACTCACACAAACACACAAACACACACAATCGCCAGAGCAAACAAAAGCCATGACCACAAAACAAGTGTAATAAATTCGACTCACTCCTCAAACTCAGCCTCCTTCAGCCTCACGTCTTCTTCAGGGATCCAGAGTTAATCCAGAATAAAAACCAATAAAGATCCAAAACAAAGACAAAAAAATAAAAACGAAACCGTCTCTTGTCATTGCAGAGGAAATTCCAAATCCATCAAAATCCCATTCGTGACTTCTTCTTCTTCTGAGACGCCTGCGATGACTGCGACAGCCCCGGTCGACCCTGTGAACCCTGGGAGAGCGACTGGGAGAAACCCGACCACACGAAGTCGTCCCTGGACAGATCCACCCGTGGCGTCCTCCGAGGGGATCGCACGCCGCCCTCCTCCCCCAGGAAGTTAAAGTTTCTCACCTGTGGTGTAAACAGATCGTCCTCTGCTGGACGTTTGCTGCTCCTGCGATTGGCCGATGTGGCCTCCGGCCTCTGGGTGCAGGAGGTGCTGGGAGTCTGCTGGTCGCCTTGTTTACCTTTCACAGGTGTGGTGGTTGGCGTGGGAACTGGGGTTTCACACGTCACGGTGGAGGGTGTGGTGGCTCCCGGCGTCCCGCGCACAGACAGTGGCATCAAGCCTTCGCTGTCAGACCACCCCCCCTGGCTCGCCGCAGAGGACCAGCCAGCTGAATCGGAGTAACCGCCCAGGTCCTGGTAGCTGACGGATGAGGTGAAGCTCCCCGACAGCTCCCGGCGTTGGCCGGAGGCTCGCTTCGCCTCCTTCTCCCTCCTCCTCTTCCTCCTCAGAGCCTTCACCTTCTCCTCCTTGTTCAGCCCCAGCTTGTCCTCCCACCACGCCCGCCACGCGTCCTCACTCTGCCAGGAGAGCTTGAGGCGCTGGCTGAGCTCATCTGTCCAGGCCTCCGTGTCCACCACGTCTGGCAGCGGCACAGAGTCTGGAGCTCTGAGGGAGGCGGACACAGCGCTGTGAAGCAGCAGCGAGCGGTTGGACATGCACGCTCTCAGATCTCGCCTCAGGCTCTGCACGCGCTCGTCCTCTGAAGAAACTCTCGCGTCGCCACCGGGCAGCTGGAGAAGACCGTCAGTTCTGGTTGTGAAATGTAGGCGGGGCCTCTTCCCACGGCTCTTCTTCCTCAGTCTCTGGAGCCAGTGTTTCCAGGTGACGAGAACGTCTTTGCTGGGCTTCACGTCAGTCGCCTGCTCGGGGGGACCGACGCGACCTGAGCTGCTGGAGCTGCGGAGCGTTTCCTCCGCTCCGCCGGGTTCTTTACCGGCTTCAGCTCCGTCTGTCTCTCCTCTGTCCAAATCAGCCACGTGGTCCGGCTCAGGATCATCATTCACAATCACCTGCAGCTCCAACCGCTTCCGCCAACGACTTTTCGCTTCCGTCTCTGAATCCTCGGAGTCAGACGTCTGCTCCCTCTCCGGTGTTTCAGCCACGTACCTCGGCACAACCTGAGTCGGTCCGATCACGTCCTCATCACTCGTCGTGTCCGTTACAACGAGCTGTGCGTCCTGTGCGAGATGTTCTGCTGGTGTTCTCTCTGGTGTCTCCGCGTCTTTCCGTCGAGGCAGCGTCTCTGCTGCCGGAGGTCGAGACGTGTCGGCGTCTGGATGATCCGGCTCGAGGATCTGGTAGAAAATATCTCCGGCCTCTGTGAGCTGTACGACACAGAGACACTCCTCTCCTCCTTTCTTCTGAACACACGTCAGACCTGACGACAAACAAAGCAGAATTATTCACATCACCCCTTTGGGACTTGAACTGTGTGCGGACACCGTGTCTCCTCGTCTTCACGCACCTGCAGCAGGTGAGGACAGTCTGTTGGTGGCGGTATCCAGGCGGTGAGGAATCTGGACGGGGAGGTGTCTCAGACTCTCTCTGGGTCTGTGCAGAGCCAGAGGAGGACCTCGACTGAAACAGGCCTCGACTCGACCTCCTGATCAAACATCACACGCAGAACATTGGTAAAGAAGATTAATGCAGGACTGGAGCTTCATAACGTCGACCCCCTGTTGACCGACCTGAGTACTGCAGCATGGTGATTTCCTGGGAACTGTACGAGCCCAACACGACCTTGGTGGTTCTATCCCCTCCCACAACCGAACCAGAGGAGGCGGAGCCGGGGAGGACGTGACAGAACAACGGCGGGGACTCCATCATGTGATCCCACTTGAGCATGGGCACGCAGGGGAAACGCTCGTCCATGACGTAGGCCGAGTACTGAGGGACGGAGAGAAAGCGGTACACGAGTTTCATTGCTGGACAAACTGATACGAGATCAGGTGTCGATGGCGTTTGTCATCAGTCAGCTCGACTGAAATCTAGTTCCTCTTTAAAGATACATTTCCTCACAGATGTGGAATATTCAGACAGTTTAGGATCCATCAGAATCTAAAATAAGCTCTGATCTTTGGTTTGTTTAATTTATTTTAACATCGTGTACCTGAGTGGTGATGAGGTGGTGGAAGGAGTGGACGTCTCCCAGATATCTGGACAGGATGAGCCTCTCTCCGCTCCGACACTCTGACGTGTTGCTGATGCGAAACAGGGTGTGACAGCTGACGGGACTCGACTGGACGGAGGCAAGAGGAGAGGAAATAAAGGTTATGAAGGAAAGAGGGAGTGAAAACAAGGAGGGATGAGAAGAAACCAGGAGGGTTGTCCACGTCCTCTTGTCTCACCCTGATGTCTGTGAACTCCACCCCCGTCCTGTCTGCGTACAGCATCACCCTGGGATGGGCGGAGAATTCGCACCATCGCCACGACGACTTGGCATTGAAGTACAGATTGGAATCCTCCTCCCGAACCTTCTGCATCCTGACAGAACATCGTGTTAACGTCTGTTTGACTCTGAGCACATACAACCTCAAACTGTCGTTAAAAACTTTTCTCTTTTAAAGAAAGAAAAGAAAAACTCTCTCACCCTTTGCCAACAGTCCACAGGTTCGCTGCTCCGCTCTCACTCGCCACCAGGACTTCACCTAAAACATGAGGACTGAGGACGAACGGCAGGGACGAGGTTATTCTCACACCTGAACCTCAAATGAAACGCTCCTCTCTGACGATCACTGACCTGGCGCTGACGCAGGTCGCGACCTCTGCGGTGTTGACGACCTGAAGCAGACGAGGATCGTTTCCTTCGCCGAACCTCCAAACTCCGCACAGGTGATCCGACCGCACGGCAACACAACCTGCAGCAAACACACAAGATGAGAAGTCTGCAGCTCGGAGGGAAACTGTGAGCGAAGAATAAAATAATTGAATGACTCTTACAGTTGTTGAACAGAGAGGCGGAGCTGATCTGTCTGATCGGACCTTTCAGATGGAACCGGATCGGGTCGCTGCCGCCGGCCGTCAGAACGGAGGAGCGTCCTCTGCAGTGCTGCAGCTCCACATTGTGGAAGTCTGAGGTACTGCGTTAAGAAGCGGACCGACTCTGCTCCATGACATAAAAACATCACTGTGCTCACATCGTCACATCGATAATCTGATTCTCTCTGATCACAGGATACTCAGTCGGTTCAGCCCTTTGTTTCCGGGGTAGAGGAGGCAGCCGTGCTGAGAGCTGCCGCCCTCAGAGAAGGGGATGAAGGCCAGAGCGCCGCCTGTGGCTCCTTCAAAGAAGAGCATACGTTCTCTCTGCTCCGTCAGCTCCTCATACAGCAGAGAACCCAACAGTTCAGGAGGAACCGAATGCACAACGTCCGACAGCAGCGCACCGAACCCGTTCAGTTTTGAGGACCAGTTCGACTTGTGACACCTGAGGAAAAGATTTTTTTTAAATTATCAAAAACAAAAAAAGAAAACTCCAGCAGGCAGATTTTGATCTGATTCCAAACCCACACCGATCAGGTTCACTCACATTTGAAACTCCAGCATATCGAGGACATTCTTCATCTTCCCCATGTTGACAGAGTTCTTCTGATTTCTCTGCAAAACAACTTCCACTCAGATTCTGAAACATCCAGCGTCTCCAGCTCAAAACCTTTGTTGTTATTTATGTCAGTTTAACGACTTCAAAGCCGTTCATGATCCGTCAGGTATAGATTTATAACTGCTTGTTAAATAACGTCTATATGTTTGTCTATAAAGTGAGTACCTGAGACTCACTTCTCTCGTTCCTTCTTTAAAGTTGAAGTTTTCGCTGAGAATTTCTCCCATGTACCCAAATGCGTCCTGAGAGTGATCCATGAAGAAGTTCTGCATCTAAATACAAAACAGAATCAAACTTTAAAACACGATAAATACCAACAAAGAAAAAAGAAAGGATTTGGGGCTGCAGCTGAATTCATTCCAAGTCTGAATGTCTAATCGTTCCTTTCAATGGGTTCTGAACCAAACAGAGGACAGACATAGAACAATAAAAAAATGTGTCCTTGATTTGATTAGAATCAAAAGTGTTATTTGATTCATTTATTCAACCATTGCACTCACATGTTCTCTGAAGTCCAGTGGATCTGGAGGCTTTGAAGGCCACAGGAACGCTGGAGAAATTAATTACAGAAACATCAATATAAGATAAACAGAGTAAAATACTGGAAATATGATCAATTTAAACAAACAAGCAAAAAAGACGAAACTAAAGATATTCAACGAGACTGAAGTCCAATATTCTGGAGAATGAGTATCAGCTGAAGACCCTACGATGTACGAGCGTCAGTGGGAACAGTGTCCTGATCTGAAGTGAACAGTTGGAGGCCTGAGTAATAAACCTGTCTGTCAGGGACTCACTCTTTCTAGGACGCAGGAGGGGAACTGGTAGAGGCTCAGTGTGACGCCACGTTTCCCCTCTGACCTGATGTCTGGGTGTAAAGGTCCAGTTGGAGGCACGACCAGAGCCGCACTGAAAAATACAAACGATAACGAGAGAGTCTGTGAATTCAGAGACAGAAAAATCATCTCACGGACCAAAGTTCAAAATTACATCAACGTAAAAACAGAAATGAAATCATCAGTAAGTTTTCTGTTGATGGACAAACACATTAAATCTTGATTCATTAACAGTTAAAAACAAAAGTGAGGACAGATTTCAGAAGAAACAGATGTTAAACATGGATCCTAGAGGAAAACATCTTCACGTGCTGCCTCCAGAGATTTTGAATTTAGGAAATCAAACGTGGCTCATCGTGAATATTCACATCATGAAGTTTAAACTGTTTCAATCACTCGTTTATTTTCTTTGCAGAGAAGTTTGATCTGATGAACTGAAGCTGGTTTCTCTGGCTCTGAGTAAATCTGGAGCCTGGTTCGGTGGTGGACTCTCAGCGGACTCACCTCCGCTCTCACGCGGTCGTAGCAGCCCCAGTCTCCGGCGCAGTGTCTCAGGACAGACTCCGGAGGTCCGCTGTTATAAAACGAGGGGAACAGCTGCGGAGGGAACTGGTGCTCCATGTCAATGATGAGTGGAACTAGCGAAGGACGTGTCGCTGCCCGGGTCTGAACATGTTGTTCCCGGGCTAGGCTAACGTTAGCTCCGCTGTTAGCTAGCACGGAATAAACCGGGGTTTTCTTCTTCCGAACATCGTGACACGGACTCCGAAGCCCCGACGACAAACCGAGCACAGCGACCGAAACACGGCGACGCTTGAAAACACACCGGCGACGAGAAAACAGCACAAGTCCTCAATGAATCCACGGACACGTGCAGACACGCCGTCAGGAAGCCACAGTCAAGCGGGAGAGCGCGCGGGCACATCCGGCAACAACAAACACGACTTCCGGTCTCATTAAATTTTTGTTATTATGATTTTAAGATGAGAAAGGAACAGATGTAGGGACAGTTTGAGAGATTACATTACAAGTAAAATAACAACGGGTGCAGTTAGAAAACCGAATATAATATAATCTCTGGGTTTTCAGCTATTTAAATTTGGAAACCATTATTTTTCTAACCTAATTTTACCTTGAATTATTTTACTTTGCGCTGTTAGCCTCACTCTTTTCCTTTCTCTCGCTGCTGCGTCGACCCCGATGTAAAATTTAAAAACGCGATGTTTAAAAACAATAATAAAGTACTAGATCGTTTTATTTTGAAGGCGTCAGGGCGGACGCAGCGGTCTACGGTTGTCACGTGATCTTGGTCCGTGATCGGCTTGTTTCGGGATCAGCCGCTGGAAACAGAAGAACACGAGCGAAATACGAGTTCTGGTTCATCTCGGGGGAGAAAGTTCGTCACCAGCCGCTCCGACGGGAGGACATGTTCCAGTAGGACTTTTATTCTGGTACGTTTCCTCTCCTCTCATCTCGTTAGCCGCCATGCTAACCCCGGAAGTCGCGACACTGCAGCGGCGGTGGAACGTCAGCTGATGAACATGTCCTCCAGCAGCTGAGCGTCGTTGTTTAATGTGTTTCGTTGGGATTGTTACCAAGAATCACCGGGTAACACTTTGACTCACACGTGGTTCCTGCTGTGCTGGGCGTTAGCATCGAAAGCCTTCAAGGTGAATCAGTCAGCTGAGGCAGAAGGTGTGTTGATGTTGTCGTGAGCACCTGACACTGTGACATGTGAGAGGTTCGATGCTGCACTGACTCGTGTGTTCGTGTGTTTGTTGGTCTGCAGCAGCGACACAACTCGAAACCAACGTGTTCGTGTTCAGGTGCATCTCATGCATGTGTTTGTGTGAAGGGATCAACAGCAACGCGACTGTAAACGAGGCAGAGTTAGCTTAACGGGCTAATTTTCAGCTGTTGTCTGGCATGAAAATACACCAACATGCTGAACGTTAGCTCTTTAGCATGCCGTGTGTTTAGCTCACGTATCACATCGTTGCTACACATGCTAACGAGCATTGATGGATAATTAGCCTCAGCTGAAACTGAGTCAGTATAATTGAGTCTAATTTAAAGCTGCTGCCCTGAATCAGTGTTAATGTTGATGTCACCAAATGACTCTGATCAGTTTCTTAGTATTCAGTGTGTTTATCTCCTTCAGCGGCTCCAGATGTTTAATCACTGACCGATCACGTCTGTTGTTTTATCCACAGTTTGAATAGTTTCTCAGTTGATTACACTGATGTGATATTTACTCTGATAATGTAAGAAGAAACACCATGATTTGATTTGTTTACTTCCTTTCTTCCATTATCTTTCCTTGAAGAGTCAAAGGTGCGGTGGAGCTGAAACCTACATTTATTGAATAGTTTGGTTTCACTGCACATCGCTGACTACTTTCTCTTTGACTCTGCCTCTCTCTCTTTCTCCAGACACATCACAATAATGTCGGGGAACAGTCTGGTTCTACCCATAGTGCTGTGGGGCCGCACGGCTCCCACCCACTGCATCAGCAGCTTGCTGGTGATGGATGACTTCAGCACCATCATCACCGGCTGCCACGACGGACAGATCTGCCTGTGGGACATGACGCCTGAGCTGGAGGTACAGTTTGATGAAGATGAGGCTCTGTCTCTCTCTCTCTCTCCCTCTCGATGTGTGACGTTATCTATCATTTATTTAGCTTCATCTTATAATAATCTGTTTCCTCCTCAGATTTGTCCCAGAGCCATGTTGTTTGGACACACGGCTTCTATCACCTGTCTTTCTAAAGCCAGCACGTCGAGTGACAAGCAGTATATTGTCAGTGCATCGGAGAGTGGGTGAGTACATTCTTAACACACACACACACACACACACACACACTTTCAAACAAAGTGAACTTTATAAGTTAAACCTTCAACTGTTGTAAATTGCTCAATTATGTCCAACCTCACTTTACTCATGTTTCAGGGAGATGTGTTTATGGGATGTGAACGATGGACGCTGTATTGAGTTCACTAAGCTGG